CAGCCAAATCTGCATGCAACAACTGAAAAGAACTGACGAGGGTCAACCCAGACCGAAATATATTTTCAATAAATGTGGAACTAACATCTACTTTTTACTCTACAGAGGTTTGGTCCATCACCATCACTGAATTTTAAATCTATGGTCTTCTTTTAGACAATCTACTGTCCACAATTGTATTTTCTGTGGTCTGAAAAAGACCGAACAGGTCCACAAAAAGCGGTCCAATTTAGGTCGTGAAAAAAATCACAGAAATACAAACATGTCCACCTTTGTACGCGTAAATGCGAAAGTATGTATATATCGGGCCGGAGAATCGAGTGCACTTGTAGTACCTACTCCATAACAATTTACTCGAGACGTTTCTATCCAGGTCTACTCGTTACAAAAATCAACCAGGACTAACTCGTTGATTCTAAATGAAACACAGGCAATATCTCAACCAAGCTTCACTCCCTGGTTCTAAAGGACACACAGTACAATGAAATTACTACACAAGCAATATCTCAACCAGGCTTCACTCCCAGGTTCTAAAGGACACACAGTCCAATGAAATTGCTACCAGGCAATTTACGAACTCGTATAATTCAACGAGAACCAACGGAGAATAGTGTATCTATACTGGGAGAATGGAGTACACTGCATCCATACTAGAGTTTATAAAGTTGAATAATGGAGTACACTGTATCTTTACTGGAGTATATATTGGAAGAATGGAGTACACTGTATCTATAGTGGAGTATATGTTGGAAGAATGGAGTACACTGTATCTATACCTGGAGTAAATAATGGAAGAATGGAGTACAATGAATCTATACTGGAGTATATATTGGAAGAATGGAGTACACTGTATCTATACCTGGAGTATATATTGGAAGAATGGAGTACAATGAATCTATACTGGAGTATATATTGGAAGAATGGAGTACACTGTATCTATACCTGGAGTACATATTGGAAGAGTGAAGTACATTGTATCTATGCTGGAGTGTATTTTGGAAGAATGGATTACACTGTATCTTTAGTGGAGTATATATTGGAAGAATGGAGTACACTGTATCTATACCTGGAGTATATATTGGAAGAATGGAGTACACTGTATCTATACCTGGAGTATATAGTAGAGTATGTTCGGCAGTTTGGATCTTTTGTCAAGCTGTCAGACCTCTTCATCTAATCCTTTCAGTCTCATCTTTCATATTTTATACTTCCGACATTTTAGTTTTATTTGTAACGATTTTCTTTTTTATACAATTCAAATTATATGGATTACTTTTTCCGTTTTCTGTTTTCATTGTTTTTTTTATTAAAAGATATCCCAATTTAGTTTTCAAGATTCTGCAGAAAATAAGCATTTTCATTTTATTTCAAAATCTGCGTGAGACAAAAATACGATTTTCGAGAAGTATGTTGAATCATGAATGCGTTGAGCTTGTATTCCCCTCCTAGTGTATGGTAACTACCCTCCTAGTGTATGGTAACTACCCTCCTAGTGTGTGGTAACTACCCTCCTAGTGTTAACATACTACCCTCATAGTGTATGGTAACTACCCTCCTATTGTATGGTAACTACCTTCCTAGTGTATGGTAACTACCCTCCTAGTGTATGGTAACTACCCTCCTAATGTATGGTAACGACCCTCCTAGTATATGGTAACTACCCTCCAATTGTATGGTAACTACCCTCCTAGTGTATGGTAACTACCCTCCTAGTGTATGATAACTACCCCCCTAGTGTATGGTAACTACCCTCCTAGTGTATGGTAACTAACACTAAACAGTTTATCTATGCTGTAGAAGTAAATAAGTGTTCCTGTATAAGAAAAGGAGCTCTGCAAAGAATTTAATTTTGAACCGAAAGGAAATTTTTAAAACCCGAAAATTCTGAAAATGTGCAAAATATTTCAATTTCGCATTATTAATGTTTCCGAGAAATTAAATCCTAGCAGTCCCCCCCCCTTCCCCCCTCATCCTTTATATTTTAAACAGAGAGACTTAATGGGGTTCTCAACAAATTGTTCATCCAAGAAACAATGGTGTCTAGATATCAACGTTTTCAAACTTTAAAGTGAGTGACCGGCAATGTATGTTAGTTAAACTGAGATTGTAGTTTTGTGGAGAATATTTTATGATTCATATAAGACATAAAATGTTTAAATGATGTATAATTACTGAGTTTGTGCGCAAAAGTCGACGCTCAAAATCATTCATTTGGTTGCTTACATTTTGAGAATCAATTTTTTTAAAGTATTAAATAACGACGACGAAAAATGTATTAAAAATTCTACAGTAAACTAATTAGATGTTTAGGAACATATTTCTCAATATAAATTTGCCAATAAATCAATTTTAGAATCAATTATTTCGCTTTCATTATTACATTGAATTTCCTATTCTCTATGTATTTGTTTGCAGATTTCTACAAATTCTTCAAATGTCATCTTTTTAATAAAAATTTCACAAAATCTACAGAAAATGTTTGTGACATTACAGAAACTTATAACTAAATAAGATTACTTATTTTCAATTTATTTTAATTTCTCAACCTGTTCCTAAACAAAGTTATCGTAGAATTTTTGTTTCATTTTTTGTAGTCGTTATTTAATAGTTTTAAAATCGATTCTCAAAACGTAACCCCCAAATGGATGAATTTGAAAATCGACTTTGCACTCAAACTCAGTAATTATACATCATTAAAACGTTTTATATGTCTCGTATGAATCATAAAAAAATCTCCACAATACTACATTCTCAGTTCAACTACCACGCATTGCCGGTCTTCACGTTTATTCTAATTTACAACCTAATCATTCAAGTTTTGAAATTTTAATGACATTTCCTTCATTTTTATTTTGTCTATATCAATAATTTATTTTTTCTATAAAATATTATTCAAGAAATAGCTAAAAATAGACTTAAAGAGAACTTGATGTATTAAAATTTGGAGAAAAAAATTTACCCCCCCCCCAGATTTTGGATTTACACAGATTATGTAATCTGTAAATGTTTAGATCCGTCACCGTCAGTGTGTGGGACTGAAGATCCAGCAGAGACGGACGAGGATCAGATTGAATCCAACCCGGAGGAGAAGTTTATTACTCCGGAGCAGAAAACTGAACCCGGAGTTTATGACAAAGAGATGGACACACTTCAAAAACTTTTCCCACAGAAACCTAAGGTGAGATCTTGAAAAAATTTAAAATTTTAAAAAACTATTTCCGTTTCTATTTTTCTTGTTCCGATGAATTATGACATAAATAAAATATTTGTTTCTTAACGGGACTGAATGCGTAACTTATCGTGAGTCGTGACCCTCCATGCAAAGATGGCAATGTTCCATTTACAACAGTACCCTTGAAACCCTAATCTGATCAAAAATGTGGAAGATATCGGTTTTTTTTACTCAAAAAGTGTTTTTTTTTGTTCCTCCATTGCTTCTTATAAGTCACTTTTGCAGAAAACCCGTAAATGAAAATTAACAGTTTGAAGATACAAAAACATGGATATATCTAATTAAAACTTGATCAGAGTAAGCTTTCAAGGGTACCGTTGTGAATCGAGCACCGCAACATTGCATTAAGGGGAAACATTCATAAACCCACAAAGTTTACAAAAAGATGGTTTCTGGTTTTTATCAAATCAGAAATTGAGGTCTTAAATGTGCTTTAAAATAGCTGTACAATCCCTTTCATATTCAATATTTGGTTCGGTTGTTGCAGGGACTGCTGCATGAGGTTCTGAAGAACAACCTGGGGGACGCTATAGCGAGTATTCAGCAGATACTCAACGAGAAGATCGCCGCTAATAGGATAAACTTCAACAGGGACATCTTCATTTCAATTTTTATCATTTACTTGCTTGAAAACCCAGCTTCGCCAATCCTGTATCACTCTATCCAATTAACATGAGTTGATAGATAAACTAAAGCGCTCTTTCATCTTTAACTGTTATCTCAAGACAAAAGAAAATGCTGATTGCCACAAACTCTGATTCTCTAATCTTTATATCTTTGAAACCAATTTTCAAACTATGACCACCTTTAAATTTTAGTTTGTGGCCAAGACTCAATTCCTTTATGTACATTTCTTAGAGAACGCAGAAAATGTCAAACTGTATCTAGAAACGTAAAAAAAATGTTTTTAAAAAAACTCATAAGTAAAAAAATGTTTTTAAAAAATGATTCTTATTTTCCGATAAATATTTGAATGAAATTGCGTCTAGGATTACAACCCCCCCTCCTCCTTTATCCCTTCCCCTGTTCAGTTCCTCCCTGCTGTCCCATAGGACCTTCTGTCCCATTACCACCATGTCCCGCCCAGTCTCTAGGTTCACGCCATACAACTACCCACACAGGTACTTCCCCGCCCTCTCACACTCCCCCTACCCCGCCTCCCTTCTACACTCCTTCCCACCACACTTTCCTATGGGATTGCCCCTGCCAGAACTGGAGAGAAGTGTGTCCCCCGGGCCCGCCTCTTCACCCTCTTCCTCTATAACCCTGGAGAGGAACGAGTGCTACAGAGACCTAGAGAACTAGAAATACGTCATACTAATCTAGGAGACATCCTTTAGGACTCCAGGAGACCTCCTTTGGTACTCAAGGAGACATCCTTTATATTGCTCTTGGAGACATCCTTTTGTACTCACGGATACATCCTTCTTATTACTCTGGAGACATCCTTTAGTACTCCAGGAGACCTATTTTAGTACTTTAGAAGACCTCCTTCAGTAATTTAGGAGACCTCCTTTAGTATTCAGGAAGACCACCTAGCACCTAAAAAGTTGGCGGTTTTTAAAATCTACTAGTCTAAAACAAATAATGTAAATTGTAATTAATGTTTGACATATGTTTATTAAGTTTTTAAACATTTAAATTCATTTTGTACATAAATACTTCCTAAATGTACACTGTACAATGTAAATTACTCATGTACATACTGTGTAAATGTTTAAGATTTGAACCGAAACGTTGAAAACTTACAAGTTGAAAACAGTTTTATAGGAAAAGAAAGAAAATTGATGTACCGTGTAATATGACTCTAACTAAAAAAGAGAAACCCCAAAAATGTTACGTCTGAACCCTCCCCTCTCTTTCTACAGACAAAAATCAAATTAGAAAAATACTTTTTTTTATATTTATCTTTTTAAATTGTGTAAATGCTTCTCTTTAAACTAGTCAATGTAATGTAAACACAATAAATATGTATTTTTTTGATTGATGAAATTGAAAATTAAATTTTGAATTTTTCAATAATTTTTTTTACATAAAACAAGGGCCCTGCAGTTACTTGGTGGAACAACACTGCTTGAGAAGCACTAGGTTTGTTTACCTTTCTCCAACAAACTGTAGTACACGTTTTATGTAAACAAAGATATAGGACTTCCTGGAATATTTTCCATCATGCCTATTTATATACGTTCATTACTAAAAAAAATTATTTAGGCATAAACCTAAACATTTAAAATATCACAAATTGTCTGTATCTGTTCATCAAAGCATGAAAATAAACTTTTAAAAAATAATCTTTTTTCATTTATTTTCCTCTGATTTTACAATTTTCGAGAGTGCTGAAATAATCCTTGCTTTTTTCTACTTATAAGTATGATGTCCTGTACGTTCCTTGAAAAATTTCAATTTTTATTAATTTTTACGCAAAAAAACTATTCAAGCCTGGTCTTTTAAAGACTGTTGTTAAAACGTTAAAGTTTTTAATAATCATTTAATCAGCAAATATTCTGTGTCATTTTTGAAAAGTTTGAACATTTCAACAAAACATTACAGTACACCTGCTAAGATAGATCTTACCATTTTTTAGCTTCAAATAAAAGTTGTATGCATTAAATAATTCGTTTTATTTTACAATAGCAGTCAAATTGAGCTTATCCCAGAATTTAACTTGATTTTCAGGTTTAAAATGCATTTTAGAGTGAATCAAGTTTTACTGTGTGATTTAGTTCAGACAGTTTTAAGGAAAAGAGAAATTAAAATTGTGAAAATAAAAAAAATAGATTTGTATTGTCTTTTTGTTTTGCCAGTGCAAGATAAAGATCCAGAGGCTGAAACTTTTGTGTCTTAAATCTTAACTTCTTGGCTTAGCCGGTGTCTTAACTTTTCTTTTCCTTGCTCATAAATATTGTAACAAAAATCTTACATTTCAGACATGAATAACCCATCAAGGAATCTACTATAAGACAAAAAAAAATCATATTTTAACTATAAGAATAACAAAAGTAATATTTTTCATTTTGAAATACAAGACAAAAGGAATAGTATGAAGGAAAAAATAAGCCAATATCTTCTGGGGTTTTCTGAACTCGATGAAAACAAGTTTAAAAACTGGGAAATTCTGTAGATTCAGCATCAAACGAATGGGAATACAATAAACATATACATTCTTTTGTATATAAATAATTTATTGATATACACAGAATTTAGTTTTAAAATAGTAGAGCTCAGAACAACAACTACAGATTGCTAGAAGGAACTGGTTCGAACTGGTTCCTCATCGCGAACTCTTATTTTTTCTTATTATTATACTTTTGCAACCTGGACCGGACTAGATTTTATGAATAGCGAGAAGAAGCTGAACCGCGTAGATGTAGTTCAACCACTTCCATAAATGTACCAGTTCAGACGGAATAAAAGTAGTTGAACTTCGTCTGCGCAGATCAACCATGTCTCGCTATTCATTAAATCTGATACCGAATATAATAAATTTGAACCGGCAGCAGTAGGTGGTTCAGCGGCGCAGCTCAAATTCATTAAATTCGGTCTCTGGTCCTTCAATTGTTAAACTTTGATATTTCAAGTTTTGATTTCACAAGATCAAAGCTTTAAAACCATAAAATGGAAAGATGGAGAGATTAGAAAATTTAAGGCCAAGACAAAAATTTTCGTAGAATGTTATGTCCGATGTTTTGCTTGTATGCAAGAATTAGCACTTTATATATTTGACACTGCACGTGAAGATAGATAAAACAAACTATGTTTGAACTGTTTTAAAATGATTTTAATTCAGTTTTGACCTGTTTTTTACATCAACAAAAAAGTAACTATTATATTTAGTATTTACCCAAAATAAGTAATTAAGGAAAAATTGGGATCAACTAAATCGATTCTCGAAATTTCTCTGTTTCTAAAAAAAAATTGTAATGCTTTCTTGATCCAATGATTGAAGATTCAATAGAAATTTTGTGAGGAAAACTATTTAAATTCTATATATTCGCAGATAAACTCATAGCGTTAAGAACTGGAGCTAGATTTGTTGAATATTTGAGCGAAGAATTTAAGACAAAATGGTTTCAGGATTTAAGCGTATGCTTGGTTTCCTTCTACTTATTAAGGTAAATCATTTTATGCAATTATTTAAAGGGACTGTACAGGAAAAATGAAATGTGGTATAGGCTGAAACCTAAGCATTTTAGGAATTGATCGAGGAGTTCTTGTCTCAAGAAATTGATATAAAACTGTGTCAAATTTAAACGAAAATCTATATATACATAAAATGTTAAACCATATTCAGCAAATACACAACCAATCTGAAAACGACGGTATCCCAGAGGAGCCTAAAAAACTTAGGTTTCCTTTTATTATTATCAGAATTTAATAATTTATTATTTATAAAGATATGATTGATAATATTATTTATACGTCCGTATCACGTGACCAGAACTCCTACCATTGGCAGTGCAGTATACTGGTCACGTGATACAAACAGAGTCACGTGATAATGATATATAGATTTTCGTAAGAATTTGACACACTTTTTTATCAATTTCTCGAGACAGGAACATCAGATAGGACTCTAATCGGTCTCGCTCAACTCCTAAATGCTTAGGTTTCAGCCTAAACCCCCTTTTATTTTTCCCTTACAGTCCCTTTAAAGGCTAAAATTCTGTATAATCGAGTAATAGTATATTTGTGTAAAAACTTAAATTATTATTTATAAAGATTTATTCACACACAAAGATATAAATACATATATAAATGGTGTATTTTAAATTTGTTTAAATAAATTTTTTTTTTGAAAATAAAGGTTTCCAAAAGAAAAGAGAAAAAGTATGCAAAATTATGCACAAATAGAAAACATTGATTTTACTCACTACATAACATATTTATCATTTCAGTTATTACGTAATCATCGAATCCTTCAACATATAAATTATTCATTTTTGTATTCTTGTTTGGTACAAATTGTTGAACATTTCTTAAACAAATTAGTTCCTTCTACCGCTGGAAATACTTTTTTCCTTAATCTTTTTTACTTCAACTGCTGGTTTAACTCTTTTTTATTCTGTTTTTCTTTCACAGACGTGTGAATGGACAAGCAACCCTATACTTTTATTGTCTGACACACCATGCATCGATTAAAGTTTTTTTTGTAGAAGAATAACACTGTAGAATTATTTATAAATGAAAGGTATCCTCAGCTTGTATATTGACAGACACATCATTGGAAGGATTTGCACTGAACTCTTTTCCAGCTGGATCCTACCAAATTTGCCAGGTGGAACAACTTTTATACAACAGAAGATCAAGTGGGGAACCCAGTCTCTTATCCTAATTTTTCTAAAACAAGTTTAGTTAAAATTTTAGCTTTTTAATGGTATTTCCACTTACATCTTGAATCTAAAAATGTAGCAGATTTTTCTGCTAGAATTGACGAGTTTTCAATTTTCAAAATCAAAATTTCTTTGTCAAAAAATTTGTCAAAGTCCTGGATACCATAAAATATTCGGCTTAGCTGTCACAAATTACAGGCATAAGCTCGCTATACCAGGCGGATTAAACAAGATTCGACTATTCTACCAACCCTTAGCTTTAGATCTAGACATTAAAAGGGCACTAGGTTCAAAAATGAAACATAAAACATAAATACGAAATAAACATAAATCTCCTCTTATCAAGTTTTTTTTCGCATTTTTGTTTAGTCTAATTTAAATCGTCATTTTTTTTTGTTTTGAGTGTATTAGTGTGCATAATTCACACAATTCAAATTTTGTTATATTTAATATTTAAAAACTTTTTTTAATATTAAGGAGCTATGTCAACAAACTGAAGGATGTCTTGCCTTCACCTGGAGATCTTACAGTAAGGTTAGTTTAATATAAATAACTAAAGTATATCCGGGATAAATATGGATGTTGGTTAATTAACAGTTTACAGTATATATAACTACAACTAGATATGTCCAGGCTATTTAGGAGGGAACTCTGATCTGTTTAGTTTTTATTGGTTTCTATAAAAATCTTTAAAAGAGAGTGACCGGCAATGTTTGATAGTTGAACTGATCGAATGTAGTATTGTGGAGAGAAATTTTTCATGAATCATTTGAGGCTTATGAGACATTTTTACAGTGCATGTTTGTTCAGCAAGAGAGCAATCTTTATTCTTCCTCATAGATTTTTCATTTTTGAGAGATGATTTTGAGAATCGGTTTTTTAAAATATATTCAATAACGACGACGAATAATGTAGTAAAAATTCTACAGTAAACTAATTAATAGTTGTTTAGAAACAGATTGAGAAAATAAAAATTAACTATTATTATCAAAACAAAGTAATCAAATATTCAGTTATTGGTTTCTGTAATGTCTCAATGCTCACAAAAATTGTCTGTAGTTTTCCTGGAATTTGAAGAATTTGAAGAAATCTGGGAACAAATTCACAAAGAATAAGAAATTCAATATAATGATGGAAAATAAATAATTGATTCTAACATTGATTTATTGAGAAAATTTCAATTGAGAAAAATGTTTTTAAATATATAATTATTAGTTTACTGTAGATTTTCTTTTATATTTTTTGTCGTCGCTATTTAATAATTTAAAAAATTCTTTTAAAAACGTAACCGGCCACCCATGAATATATGATTTGAACGTCGACTTTACACTAAAAATCAATAATTATGTACATCATTAAATAAAGCGATTCATATGTCTCAAATGAATCCTAAAAACATTCTCCACAAAACTACATTCTCAGTTCAACTACCATAAGTTGCCGGTCCCTCCCTTTAAAAAACTAAATATTCTACACTGAAACTGATGTTTGTTTCTAAACTATACTCCTGCGATGTTTAAAAATAATGAGGTAGTATATAGCATAACTTCTTAATTTTATCATACTGGACTTTTAACTTATAATTATGACTCTATCTGTGAACATGTTCTCTACGTACAATTTAAAATACCCTTTAGGACTGCAGTTTAAAGAACTCCTGGTATGGATCCCAACAAAGGATGGTGGGGGCAGGTAAAGTTTAATGGGATATTTTTAAAAAAATAATTAAATCCCGACTCCATGTTCCTAATCCTTTTCTAAAGTCTATTTCAGGCTACAGCCTCATTCCTAACTTAAGTATAAAAGGAGTAATTGGCCAAATACTGCTCGAGTAAGGCCAGAACTGAAAGTTTCTTATTATTTAAGATCAATGCAGAATATTATTGCATATTTGACAAATAATAATTTAAGATAAATTCTCATATTAAGCCTGAGATGTCATTAAAGAGACGTATATTCAAATATTCCTCCATTTGTCGTACACTGTACACTGTACAGGCATTTTTCCGCCATCGATAATTAGAAAAATATACTATTTAGGGTTCTTATGTAATTTTAACACGAAAATAACAGTTTATAAATGGAGCGTCATTTGAAACTACATTTACAGTCCCATTAAACTGCTTCTTTATTTTGGTAGCGGCCAAACTCTATTACTAGCAAATGCCGCAATAAATTATAAGAAGAGAGAGATTATATTTTAGGTTTAGGTTAGGTTTAGACACTTTCTGGGCCGCCCGCTGCGGCTAGAGCAGGTTAGGGAGCTGAGTGCCGCGGCTACGATAGGCTAGGGGCCGGCTAGAACTGGCTCTCTCTCTGTCTTATAATTCATTGCGGCATTTGCGAGTAACAAAGATTGGCCGCTGCTCTTCATTCTGATTCCTGCAGTGTCTGGTCCAGCTTACTGCGGACAGCAGAATTGTTATGAGAGGAACAAAGCTTATTTCGGGAACAAACTCATTAATTCAAGAGATGATCAGGTCACAGACAGCCCTGAAAGGTATTATTTCTTCCAATAAATATGTTCTTGTTAAAGAGACTATAGGGCATAGGCGTATTTTCACGCATAACCCTACATTCAAAAAGTATGTATTACCTTTTAAACCTGTCTCTAAGTAACAATAAGAAAGATATCTTCGTTTTTCTCTGTTTGAAAACGTGTTGAATTCTGACAATTTTATTTATTATTTTTGCTGTGTAGAGTTATTAAAAAGTAGAACTACATATTTATGGATATCTCATTAATCCTTGATCAGAAAACCACAGTTCCTTTCAGTCACTTTCTATATTTATGAATTCTTGAGGTGCCAGATAGAATGTCAAGAAACTAATGGTTGCAAAGCATTTACTTGGACCTTAGGAAGCAACCGTTGTAATCTCAAATCTGCGGTAAATTTACGTTAACCCTTTTCTAGTTCAATTTTTGCTCAATCATCTAGATATTAATCCTTTCTCAATTATATAGATATTAATCCTGTTAAAATCAATCCTTGCTCAATTATTTAGATATTAATCCTGTTAAAATCAATCCTTGCTCAATTATTTAGATATTAATCCTGTTAAAATCAATCCTTGCTCAATTATTTAGATATTAATCCTGTTAAAATCAATCCTTGCACAATTATAAAGAAAAAACTCCTGTTCAAATTAGTCCTTGCTCAATTGTCTAGATATTAATCCTGTTCAAATCAGTCCTTGCAAAATGTCAAGATGTAATTCCTGTGCAAATGAAGCCTTGCTCAATTTTCAGCGAAAACCGTTAATTTTTAAACCGTTAACGAAACGAATTAGCCATTTTTTTTAAACCAAAAGGGAGAATTTCGTTTTTCTCCTTAAAATTGCATTTAACTTGTAAAAAAAATATTTTTTACATGTTTTTTTACAACATGACAAACCCTTAATGCTGATAGTACTACAAAAGACCGTTAATGGCTGCAGCATTAACAATTTCATAGCTATTAACTAAATTTTGTTTGGACGCTCTGCATTGTTAATTCTGAAATAGACTGTTAATGGCTGCACTGATAACGATTATTTTAATTATTTTAACTTTAAATTTCGTTAGCTCTTTGCGCCGATAATAATGTAATAGACTGTTAAAGACTGGAGCCATTAACGATTGTCGAGAATTTTTTTTCTTCTAAAGTCGATAATAAAATTGAGATCGTTAACTGATGGTAATTTAAAAAACTGGTAAATGCCGTTAACAAAACAAACATTCTGTTCTTACCTTTAAAATTATTTAACCATTGGAACTAACCGTTAACGAAACAGCTAGAAAAATATGGAAAATGCCCAGCCCTAATTGTGAGATCTAATTGCTATATTCTTTAAAACAGGTGGCAGGAGAAAACAAAATAGACAGGGAAGGAAAAATTTCTGGACCTGTTCACTGCAATACTAATGTAAGCACTTTTATTAAGAAATCAAAATCATATTTTGCTTCTGGTAAGAAAACAAGATTGATTGCTTTGTCTTCAAGTAAAAAATATATGGCAAAAATTTAATAATCAGTTTTGGCAATTTTATCCATTGTAGGGGTATAGCCATACACATAAATATTAAGTGGATGTTGTACGAAAGGAAGCAGCAATGTATAGATAATATACAGGGTGTCCCAATAAACATGGGAATTCAGTGACGAATTCAATATCGTCTTTTTAAATAATTCTTTGATTTAGTATAGTGATACCTACTGAGAAAGCTGTTATCTGTAAGAGTTTCGTCTGCTATGTTCACATTTTGTTTGTTTATGTTTTGACTGCATAAGGGTGTACTTAGTAAAACAAGAAAATTGCAGTATATAAACAGAGTAAACTTGTCAGTCTTCACTGTTTATCTTGCGGAGACATTATAGACACATCTTTACTGCAGTCTTAAAATAAACTCTAGCAGACATAATGTTACTATGGCTTTTGAAATTAGGTATTACAATGCTAATTCATAACAAAGACGATATCGAATTTGTCACTGAATTCCCATGTTTTTTGGGACACCCTGTATGAAAAGCAGATTTGGAAACTTATGGTTCAAAGAAGTTTGGAACTTTTGTGAGTGGTATCAATAATCTTAAACACATAATCTAAATATTAAATGTGGCCACTTTTAAATTTAAAGATAAATTCTTAATATTCCTCTCAATTGAAGTAAATACTGCTGAGTGCTGGGTATGATTACAAGGTGATATCAAAGAGTAATTAGATTAATTAGTCAGCCCACATCAGACTGACTTCAATTCAATTTTATCTTTAATATATTTGTAAGGTTGGAGGGGTTTGTCCTCCTCCAGCTTGTGTTCCAGCCTGGAGATATGGAAACATGCGCTTTCAAGGATGTGCGGATCCTTTAAATCAGGTAATTCAAATTCAAAACTGGTTTGAGGCCAGAACAGTCACCCATTTCTTAAAATTCCTTCTTTGATAATTCTTGAAGAATGTGGGGTATATTCTCAGAATTAAACCTTAAATCGTTCAATTTAAAAGTTCACACTGTTGGTATTGAGTTCAGTTGATGTTGCCAAGAACTGTTGGTATTGAATTCAGTTGATGTTGCCAAGAACTGTTGGTATTGAGTTCAGTTGATGTTGCCAAGAACTGTTGGTATTGAGTTCAGTTTATGTTGCCAAGAACTGTTGGTATTGAGTTCAGTTGATGTTGCCAAGAACTGTTGGTATTGAGTTCAGTTGATGTTGCCAAGAACTGTTGGTATTGAGTTCAGTTGATGTTGCCAAGAACTGTTGGTATTGAGTTCAGTTGATGTTGCCAAGAACCATCCAAACAAAAAGCTCAGCCAAGAGGAAGTGTTTAAGATATATGCTTTAAAGGGTGGCCTCTGGTGTCCTCTTCCTTTGGGATTAGATGCCACAGGGAATTGGAGGAATGGATCTACTGCATTTGCATGGTGCAATGCTCCTTCTAACTGTGTTAAAAAATGGAGGTGGGTTTAGACTTTGCTCTATTTCATCTATAGTTACTTTGCTTGCCTATTCTGTCTGTGTCCAATCAATGTCAAAACAGCTGAACCAATCAGGCTTATTTTTTTTTGTGGCAACTTTAAAATAACTAAATTTTTACAATACATGTACATACAGTCTCATTTTTAGTTACCTTGGTGAACCTCAGACTTACTGCAGCACCATAAAAAGTGTTGGCCGTCCCTGGTGCCCAACCCCTGAGGGTGTGGATGACCAGGGAAACTACTTGCCTGCCGGTCAGTTTATATACTGTGAATCAGATATGTGTATAGACACCAACAGCTGTTTACCTCCTGATAACTGTGCAGAAAAATGGTTTTATAATGGAAAGAAGGAAAAGTATTGCAGCACTGTTGGAAGCCCAGGAACCCCCTGGTGTCCTGATAAATATACCTTATCATCAGATCTTGCTGTAAGACATTTTACAAAGCGCATTGAGTGTAATAAAGAAACCTGCTCTAGAACTCCATGTGGACAAAATGCTGCAGAATATGAAAAGAAGATTGTTGGGGGTAAGCCAGCTGATCCCAATGAGTGGCCATGGTTAGCAGCACTGATAACTCCAGAAGGAAGTTTCTGTGGTGCAACCTTGATATCAGATTCTTATCTAGTGACAGCAGCTCATTGTGTTGTACACTACACTAAGGAGGAAATGAAGGTTAAAGTTGGAGAGTATGATTTCAACATTGACGGAGAGACCAGTGACAAAATTTATGACATTAAAAGATTAGTTGTTCATGAAAGATATGATCCAAATACATACAACAATGACATCGCTTTGATTAAACTTAGGTATCATTATTTTAAATATGATCAAAGAAATTTCTTATAAAATAACACTTTATTTACAGTGTACCTGCTATCTTTAATAAGTCTGTATGGCCAATATGCTTACCAGAAGAGGACAAGGTCTATGAAAATTACCGAGCATATGTTGTTGGTTGGGGAACAATCTATTTTGGTGGACCTGTCAGTCCGACATTACAGGTAGGTTAGTGGTTACTACTTAAACTTATATGCATACAGGAAACATCTCATACCCATATAATTGTGGAATAAATGTAGACAACATTTATTCAATCCTAAGCAACCCTCCATGCAAAGAGGCCTTATGTAAAACAGTTCCCCTTAAAGCAGCTTGTGTTTGCTATACAGCTAAACTTCAAAGACTAACTTTAGGGATCATCATACTCATTTCTTTTATTTCTGTTCTAGGAGGTTAATATTAGAGTTTGGGAGGATGAGGTGTGTAGAAGGAACTATAGAGTAATGGAGAGGAATATAACTGAGAACATGATCTGTGCAGGAGATGCTGATAAGTATATTCTTTAAATTGCCTAATATCAACTTAAGATGAAAGTTGTGTGTCATAATTTCAGCAAAGCTCGTATAGCAGGGATAAAACTGCTATAAAAATACAATGCTAACATAGCTGGCTATTAAAAACAAAAGTTTTGCCCATTGTTTTATCTAGCATTCAAAATTATCTAGACACGGTTCAAACATGGTTTGCTTAACTGGAAACTTGAATCAGTGTTTTGAGATTTCAGCCATCATTTACTTGATTCAAATCCAGATTAAGACTAAATCTGACTTTAAGACTCACAGCACAAGGAGGTGGACTGCTTCAAACACATCTCCTTTTTAAATTATTTAACTAAGGCTTTATATATCTACATATATAAAGTTGTAATCTCTGTTTGGGTGTCTGTCTGTTTGTTTGGCCATGCATAACGTAGGAACCCATTGGCCGATCTGCCTCAAATTTTGATTGGAAACTCAGGAGAACCACGGGAATGTACTTAGTGGGTTGACTGAAATAATGCAAATTTAGTTTTCCAGTATAATTGTCCAAGGTAAACGGCAGGAGCAAGGTACTAATGCAAGGAAAGTTAAATGCGGTCGCGTATACTCTGCATAATATTGAAACCAGTTCTCTCTGGGCGGAATTTGTAAACAAGAATAGATGCATCAGTGTTTGTCTAGTATCCGAGGAGGATAAAAACATATAATTTTGATAATTTTGAAAATTCACATAATAGTTTCCCATGACCAGAATATTTCATAGATTATTTTTGTATAAATGGTGCTTACTTTCCACCCAAAGACAGTACAAAAAATGCGTACACCTCTTAAATAACTTTTCTTGCATTATTACCTTGGGCAGGAGTGTCTTTTATTAACCTGGGCAGCGCTGGGTTCCCAAGCTAGTCTAGAGATAAGATTGTTATATCTACATTTAATACTTGTTATATTCAGAGATGCCTGCCAGGGAGATAGTGGTGGACCCTTGAACTGTTTGAATCTTGCCACAGGACGGTGGGAGCTCTGTGGGATTGTTTCATGGGGGCTTAAGGTGAAATACAAGGTTTATAGGAGAAAAGCTTTGTGGTGTGTTCCATTTACAGGAAAAGGGGATAATGAGCAATACCACCAACCATGAATAACCATGGTATTTTTAACTTTAATCTAACTGTATGTCCCAATGGTTAAAGACCGAGGTAGTGACAAAAAATAACAATACAAGATTCTTCCGAGGCCATGTAATTGGAATGAGTACACTTTAACCCCGTTTCCAAAGATGTGAACCTTCATGCTAACATGACAATGCCCTATTCACAATGGTACTCTAAAACCAATAATGTGGAAGATATTGTCATTTTTCTAGGTGGAAAAGTGTATAAAAAAAGGCCCAAGTCACTTTTGTAGAGAAACCACAGCTGTAATTAATCAGTTTTAAAAATTTGAAACATAAAATTCGAATTCGTATCACATGAAATTTCATTTAAATATAATTGATTATTTTTGTGTGCAAATTAAAAATGAATGTATTCTTGATGTCCTGCCAATGCAAAATTTATTGAGAAGTACTGATCTAAAAACCACCACATTGAGACAAATAAACTATAGAATAGAAAGACAACTGTTAAAGACTTAGTTTCTTGTTTTGTTCAGTTTTTTGAAAAATAACACCAAAGTTATGCAGTGTAATCTGTACACACACAGACCCATTTCACTTATCAAGTTGATTTTGATTTTAAAGCTAGTGCTACTAGCTTAATACATGAAACACATTAAAATTGATTAAATTTTATCTTCCTATTCCACAGGTATATTAGCTTCATTGTTTCTATCTAAAGTACTATCTGTATGATCTGTGAGAAAATGTATATTTAAAAAAAATTATTATTTAGTGTGCTGAACCTGATTATCCAGGGGTATACACAAGGTAGAATAAAAAATTTATTAAACAATTATTAGAGAAACAAGAAATTGTTTGTTTTTCATTTGGCCAAGCAGAGTTTTAAAAAGCCAACCATATTTTTTACTATTAGTATAAATGTAAATATTATTGGAAAACAAATTTTTTGATATTCCACCATAATTGTTTTCTTTTTATTTCTTTCCGGTATGTCTTTTTTACAGTGTGGGTAAGAAAAGTGTTATTAGCGTTGCACTGTGGCGTATATTAGGGGGTCAGGGGGGGGTGACTGGTTTTTGTCACAATACTCTTTTTAAAATGCATTTGTCTTGTGATTCAGAATAATCTAAATAAATAAAATAGATTCAAACAATCATTAATCAAAGATGTATGGGTAATGGTTTGGGCTCTGATTCGCGTTTAAGAGTTTTCACGGAAATTATACCAGTTTTATGTCATTATATTATAGAACTTTAACACAACATTACTATGACTTAGAGACTTCTCCAAAAAAATATTCAAGCGACTTAGCCACATTTGACATGGATAAGAGGTTTATGGTGTAAACTCAATATTGCTTATCCCCCCCCCCCCTGTTTCCCCATTGTGCGTCGTCTACATCAAAATAATGTTTTTGTTTCATCAAATTCTCATCTCTACTATTTTTCTTTATTTTGGAATATTTTTTTCATTTTTTTCACATGGTACCACAAAAAAATATTTTTTTTCTTTTAAAATTGTAAGTTGAAGAAAAAAAATGTGATAAATGATAATAGATAATTGCTTTACCAATCTCAAATCTTATTAAGATAAAGAAGCTAATCACATTTTTTGTCAAATAAAGCACATTAAATATATAGTTCCCCTAAAGATGGAATATATATTGATTGAACTTTATTTTCTGAAAATGGTTTAATATCAAAACATTTGTAGTCATTACAATACAATGATTGAATTTTTAAAATGCCGAAATATCCTTACTATACTTTCTAAAATATATTAAGATTTTTATTTGTTAAAATTTATTGCAAAGACATCTAATTGTTAACATATTTGTTAGAACAACCAACTACTTGGACTGGATAAGAGATAATATCAACAAAAAGGAAAGAGAACTCTTCTTTTTATAATTTAATGGAATTTCGTTATCAACACATGCATTAGTATTGTTTTAAAATTGCAATTTTTTAAGAATAAATTATAGATTTCTATTTATGACAAATATAAGAATGCGATAGATATATTCTTTATTTTAATTGTTTTTTAAATAAAGAGACCGTTCACTTGTTTAAAAATTCACTAAATCTACCTGGAATTAGAACTAAGCAAATCGTTGTACTCAAAAATATCCTTGATGGCCTACAAAATGAATACTTTTTTTTGTCCTATATCGTAAAAATAAAAGTGTATATCAACACAAGATTCAAGAAAGATAATTTGGAAGCAGGAAAGTATTTACCTTATCCATGAAATATTTTTTCAGTCACTAAATTTCCTATCTGAAATATCCTATATATATATAGAAAATTTAAATTGTAAACCCACCAAGGATATAAAACCATAGCCTAGTTCATTCAACCCAAGCTAAAACTTTATCATCAGTTGAGAACTGGACAAACAAATAATAATGATTTAACCCGTTACTCTGCATCTATTACCAAGGAGGAGAGGAAATTTCCAGGAGAACGAGATTCGAACCCTCGTGACCCTTATCTGGAGGAACATGGATAACGGTACTTTCGTCGGCAGAGAAAGCAAACTAGGCGTCCATTTTCTCCCCGATAAGGGAGTTAGTCTTGATGAAGTGTCAGAAGAGAGCGGTCGATAACAGCTCCAGTAGCTCCGAGAGGAGAATTAGCTCCATCTATGATTCCAGGATTAACTTCGGTTGATCCTCAGTTTGTATTTTAATAATAATGTAAAATAAATGTCCGTGCAAAGTTAGTGCTTTAATCGATTCCATCTGGCTTGTTATATTGAGTTTCTCTTTGTAAAGTTTCCTTTTTGAGTTCTTTAGATATGAGTTTCTATTAAGTTTATAAAATTTTTTTGTATATTTCTGAAATGTCCTATCATGAATTATCCTAAAATACAAAAAAATTCATTTATGAAATTTTTTAATAACTTTTTCTTTAAAGCGTCTAACTCTATAAACAACATATAATTACTTCAGTCCAGAGAGTCCAGAGGACAATATCACTTTGCACTGAGCGTAAGATAGATTATTTTGAAGTATATCTAAGCTATAAGATGACAGTCAACCTAACTTCAAGTTCGACCCTCCATGCAAAGATGGCGATGTACAACGGTACCCTTAAAAGCGTTTTTGATCAAGTATTAATTAGATATCCATGTTTTTGTTTCTTTAAATTGTTTATTTTTATTAGCAGTGGCTTCCCAAAAATGACTTGCGCATTTCTTGCTAATAAGAATCAATGAAGAAATATCTGAATTAAATACTTTCCTATTTTGGAAAACGCCGGTGTTTTCCCAAACTTTCGTCTGATCAATTCAATTTGTAAATTTGTTCCTTTTAACATCGAAATGAACAAAATTTACACAAAAAAAATTTGTATTTCGCAAATTTGATTTAAAAATTATTCAATCTTTTTTGAATTATTAGTGTATTCTCGAAAAAACCTATTTTAGAGCTCTGAACGATGTGATGTGGGACACCCCATACAGAGCGTCCCAACTTATATAAGATTAGCATTAAACTTTAACGTCGAAATAAACACATAATTCTCGAAAAACCTACAGTTAAACTCTAAATGAGCCATATATTGTCTTGACAATTTTTCGGTGGGTTTCATAATAATTTATTGCGAAAATAACTAAGTTAATAGCCATGAATATGCGGGAACAGTTTTAAAGAGTTCCATATAATCATTTAATAAAAAAACTAAATACCTGCAACATTCCATTATTAGAAAGTGAAGAATACAACATTTGATGAATTCTTTCGATATGTGGCTTATCTAGGTTTAAGTGTAGCATTTTCTGCAAGAAATGTTATTTATTAGCCTTATAAAATTTTCAAAATGATTCATTCTTCTTAAATCTGATTAGTCCCGAAAATCGTAATTTAGACCTATTGACGATCTAACATGATGTGGGACACCCTGTACGTCTCAGGCATGGAAGTGGAAAAGTAATAAAGTTTGGAGAAACTGTGATATATATAATATATATAATATATTCCAGAATCTGCATCTGTAAAATATATATTCTGCATATCATTGGAAACAGACGTTATCAAACCTAGGGGTAAATATTGATCATAATTTCATTCTTTAAAAAAAACATCTTATTCCTTATGATTAGAACCAGTTAGAAGAATCTTTATAAAATAAAGAAACACGTTTAAATTATTGGTCTAACATCTTATAGACATAAAATGTGAATGAAATAATGGTAATATGATTTGTATATGCAGTAGCTCATACGTACGAGCACATATCCCCAAGGATTAAATAGAATAGACTTATTATCATATTAGATATATTTATTATTATATATTTATATATTATATATTATTATATATTATATATTATATATTTCCGAGGAATAATTCACAAGAACTTCTTCTCAAGAAATTCCTCTGAAATTCTTAAAAACAATTGTCCCCAAAACTGGAGAACTTCCTTACTTTTTTTACTTGGGAGGAATGTGGTGTCCACTTATAAAACTAGCATTGGGAAAATTTTTTAAAAATTAGACTAATAAGCTAAACATTTTAAGTTAACAGAGGGTGGATCAGGGGCGTACGAGAACATTTGTGTTCTTGGCAACATTGTGCCCCCCCCTCCCCTAAAAAAACCCTTTTTTGAAAAAATATTGATACGATTTTTAACTATGTAAACTATTCGATCATATACACACTTTCATACAAGCGTTAATAAATTATTTATGTAATTTTCTTAAAGGGGGGGGGGGCACAAAATCAGGCAATCCCTCTTAATACTTTGGTGTAAACTTCAAGTGGTGAAAAATATAATGGAAACGTTTCTAAAAAATATATCTATATTTTCATAGGATTGATACATATTGTATGTATTATAAATTATGATATCATATTTACACTGAAGGCAGTATTGATTTAAGCTTTTTTAAATGAAACTTTTAGTTAAGAGCAAAAGTGAGATTTTAAAGTATTTTTTCTGAACAATGTAATTATACTTAAATGGAATACATGCGTAATTTCAAGTGACCCTCCATATATAGAGTGGCATGTCCGATGTACCTTTGAAACCTTCATTTCTCCATTGTTTCTGAAGCAAGAAATGCGCGAATCACTTTTGTAGAGAAACCACAGATAAAAATATTTAGTTTTAAAATGGGAAACATGGATGTTTAATGCAATACTTGATCAGACAAAGCTTTGAAAGGTATTGCTGTGAATCAGAATATATTTTATTTCTTTACTTAATCTTATAGTTTGGGTGAGTGCAATGCAATGCAATGTAGAATGTAATTACCTGAGGAAGGGAAATGCAAGCAGATGTAATATTAAAAGAGCCCCCTTGCACGCCCCTGGGGTGGATGTCCCCAAATTTTCCAGGGGGACGTCCACCATACCCCTATCCCCCATTAAGCTTCGAGCAGCCTAGGACCTGGAGGGAGTTTACAAGGTTACCCACAATGGTAATTATAGGCTGTAAAGAGTCCTTAAAACTCCTAGAACATGAAGATTTTAGGCTAAATAAAGTTTTTTGCCTTGAACTATGAACATATATGTATAGTCTTTCAATGGTTTATTTAGTATTTTGCCAAAGAAAGAAACAAGTTATACCTCGGGACACCCATGAATATAAAGAAAAGTAATTTGTTAATTCACTCTGAGTCTCATCCTTTAAAATCCTAAAAAACATTTGGGAAGAGGGGTAATATGTTACATCGTCTATATCACTGAACTTCTGACCCACTAACTTTCCGACCTACTGCAATATTGGACCTACGCCAGCGGTTTATTTTTGTATTAATTGAGGGTTGGGTGGTTAAAAAAATGTCTGGGCCGAACGAGCTGCGGCTAGGACATGCTAGGGGGCCGAATGCCGCGGCTGGTTCAGGCTAGAGGGCCGGGCGCTGAGGCCACAATTCCATCTAGCAGCTGTAGGTGAGAAGTGGCGTAGGTGAGAAGTGGAGTATGTATAGCGGATTTAAGTAGGTCGAAAGATGATGGTGTATTTTTGGACCTACGAAAAATGCCCATCCGATACCTACGAAAAGTGCCAATCCGACCTACGAAAAATGCCCATTCGACCTACGAAAAATGCCCATCCGACCTACGAAAAATGCCCATCCGACCTACAAAAAGTGCCCATCTGACCTACAAAATTGAGTGGCCGTCCGACAGCTACAATTAATTTATTCTACCAGCTACTGCGCTATAGGCATGACAAAATTAAGCTGCTGAATAGGTCGGATGGGCAAGAAGATATGCCCATCCGACCTACAGCTGTCGTAGGTCAGATGTTGCAGTAGGTCGGATGGGCAGTATAGCGGATGGGCAATAGGACGAATGGGCAGTAGAGCGGATCAACATTACCTCGAAAGATACATCATCGGGAAGAAGATTTAATGTCGTCTTTTTAATTTTTTGACAGGTCGTCATTTCTTTTGTATAACTTAAGAAAAATAAAATGTAATCATTTCGAATCGTAATATAAGATTCCGAACATCTCATCAAATGAAAGACAAATATAAAATTTATTTATCCATTAGAAACCATTGAGAATTGTAATATTTGACCGAAGTAAAAGTTGAATTTTTCTTTTAAAAGACGACATTTTCAGATTTGGTTTGGTTCGGATTTCCAATATTCAGCTGACAATGACAATTGATTTTTAATTGTTTGGGTTCGTTGTTTAATGTCTGAGGGAATATTCTTTGTGAGTGCAGCAAACAATTCTGATTTCAAGTTCGACAATGAAATAGTATTTCCTATTTTCGAACATAATAGAGCAAAATGGTGAGCGAGGCGGAGAAGTTTTGTTTAAAATGGAATGATTTCGAAACAAATCTAAGCCGAGCTTTCAGCGAACTCAGAGAGGAAAAAGACTTTTTCGACGTGACATTAGTTTGTGAAGACAATCAGCTCGATGCACATAAAGTTATCCTAAGTGCGTGCAGTCCATTCTTCAGAAATATTTTAAAGAAAAATCCCCATAAACATCCCCTTCTATACTTGAAGGATGTTCGGTGGGAGGATATGCAATCTATTCTTACATTTATGTACCAGGTAAATAGTACGATGCTTCAGTCATTGGGTAATTTTTTTTGTTTGTGAGGGGGGGGGGTCCAATTGGCGTTCGCTAATAAAGTACCTTAATTTGTATTATTTCAGTGTCAGGTTAAATTATAACAGATTTTGGGCCGAGCGCTGCGGCTCTGACATGCTAGGGGCCGTGCGTTGCGGCCGCAAGTCTTACTTTAACCATGCCCATTATTGTGAGGGTGAGGGGAGGGGTGGGGGGGTAGCAAAAATCCTTCTCTAGAAAATTATCAGATTTTTATTTTTCAATATAGAGAAATTCTTGATTATAATGAAATATGTACGTTTGTGTTGCTCAGCAAGGTGGTCATAGCGCTTGGTCCTGGGGTGTATATGTTCTTGACAAAAATACTATTCCCCGGCCCTTCTTAAGGTTTTAATATGAAGTACTTATTGTTCTGGCCCCAGCGCTAGACCTAGATATTTAAAATATTAATAATTAAAACCAGGTTTTCTAAAAGATTTATTATAAGGTTGGAAACTTAGGTCTGGACTTTTTTGTTCCATGCAAGATAATGAGATTTGTTTTGAGTGTGGGCCTCGAATTACCAAAATCTGTTTTTAAGTTTACTTAGTTTTGGTGGTAATTTCCTAGAGAGCGATTTTTGGACCCCCCCCCTCAAGTCCCCTCCCCCCCCACCTATCAATTTTGTAAATGGATCTTACAGAAAGTGTCTCAACTTAGCCTAACCCGTGGCCGCAGCGCTTGGCCCCCTAGCCCATCCTAGCCGTAGCGCTCGGCCCAGAAAGTGTCTTAACCTAACCTAACCCTAAATAATGCTAAATAAATACTTATTTGGTCTTATACAAAATTGATAGGAGGGAGGGGGGATGGGGGGGGGTCCAAAAATCGTTCAATAGGACAGACCCGTTTTGGTGGATCATTTTTGTCTGGTTAATTTTTGAGAAAACTTACTGTTCTAATTAAGGATTTGGCAGAGATTTTAGCACTTATTGGTGTTCGGTTTGTAAATCCCAATAGATTTTCCAAAAAAGTTTGGGTCTGTCCTATAAAACGATTTTTGGACCCTCCGCCTCCCCCCTCCCCTCCTATCAATTTTGTACATGATTTCAGCAAATTTATTATTATTTATTTTTGTTATAATTTTAGGGTTAGGTTAGGTTAAGACTTTCTGGGCCGAGCGCTGCGGCTAGGACAGGCTAGGGACCGAGCACTGCGGCCACATAACAAATTATAACCATTTACAAAATTGACTGGGGGGGGGGTCCAAAAATCGTTACCTAAAGTTTTGCCGGTTTCAGTTTAGTTTTAAAATTATAAACAGTAATTGACTACTTATTTTTAAAACGAATTTGATAAATCTGAATACAGTCTTCTTCGAAGTAAATCCACCGACCCGGCTCGTATGTAGTTGTGCTAAAAATGTCAGCCAAGTAGGAGAAACGACCCACATTAAAGAAATTTTGTATATTTTAGGGTGAGGTGAATGTTGCACAAGATCAGCTAACATCATTTCTAGCTGTTGCAGAGGACCTCAAGGTAATAATTCCTAGCCACAGCTTTCTTAGCGATTATCCACTGTGGTAGGCGATTATATCAATACAATGAAGACGACTTGTGATTTAAATTTTTATTTTAATCAATCCTTTAAACAGGATGAATACACAAAAAAATGGAAACAAAGAGAAGCTGTCAATTAATAAAGCTTCTCCTTAATCACTTGTCAACTTGTAATTCGAAAAAAGCTTGTTAACAATAAAAATTAAAATAAAAAAGTCATCTTTATTATATTGATATTATCGCCTACCACCGTACTAGACTTACAGAGGATACAGACCTCTAAAATGGACTGTAAATGTTTTTTCAAGTGACATTACATTTGTAGACTAAAGAGTTGAGCGTTTTATTTAATATTTTTCCCTTTAAACCTAAGTCAGATCAAGGATGAGTTATCCTTATTTATCTACAGAAACGCTTGTTATTGTTCAATGCTTTGGTTTATATTTAAAAAATATTATGATTTTTTTTTCTATAAGAGTCACTCAAATATTTGAAATATTATATTTTTAATCTCAAAGTTTTAAAAACGTAGTTGGAAAAAATGAAGATTCACAAGAAGTATGTAGAGTTCACACTGTACACTAGCGTACACTCTGTAGTTTCCTGATAATTTGAACATCATTTTACAGATAAACACACGAATTACTCTGTCGTCAATGATCATATAAAAGTTTTAAAGGTAGAGGGTCACTTTAAAATACGCCTACAGTCCCTTTAATGCAATACCTAGCAATTTAGAAGATTTCAGAATCAACACGATTTTTAATTTATGAAGAAAATCATATCAAAATGACTAAATTCTATTTGTAATTAATTCCGATATTAATATCTAATCTATTGTTATTATTTTGTTCAGGTGAAAGGTTTAACGCAAAGTCCTAAATCCGATCCCCACAGCTCAGCAGGGAGTAAAGAATCTAAACCTGAACCCAGTCACAAGCGCAGTAGTTCAACTAGTAATATTAATGGAGGAGCTGCACCAGCTAAACTACCAAAGGTAAAATTCAGGGGGGGGGGGGTGGATAATCCTTAAATAAATAGGGGGAATATCCCAGGGGGGGGTATTTGACATCAACTTCCAAGATTTCCCCTCCTTTTTAATCTTACTACCCAAAATAATACAAGTTATTTTTGAAAATTAATTTTTTGAAAAGAAAAAAGTACCAAGTAAACAAAGAAAAGTTTCCAAAAATGAAACTACCAACCAGTCGATTAAAAATTATGTTTCTTAATGGTTGACATTTTTTTCAAATAATTTTTGATAACTTTGTATATCCGGTGGCGAATCATTTAGAGAAAGCGAGACAAATGTTTTTAAACAATCCTAACCAGGGGTATACGGTTTATTTATTTTATTCGAAAAATGATTCCCTCTATTTTTTTGAAAAACATTTTTTTCACAGAAGTTATGTATGTTTGCGAGGAGCGGAAACATTTTTTAGGGTTTTATTTGCGGAAATGGGGGAAAATAAACGATATTTCGGGTTAAAAAAGAAAAGCTTTCCTATTGATGTCCAATGTTTCATTTTTTTTTTCTCGGCCTTAACTTTAATTAAATTTGTTTAGTTGACCAAAGGAGAATATTCGGATAGAGGATCCTCAACGCAATCTCAGTCTCTACCTCTTATTAAGGTTTATTTTATTAAAAATTAATTATTTATAATCAGGTGTTCAAATCTACATATATACTTAGCTCGTCTGTCTTTTTGTTTTTGTTTTAAAAAATCGTCAAAACGGTTGAACCGATCCAGTAAAAATGTCAACATTTATTATATTTGAAAAACGTAAAAATCTGAAAAAAATATGTCGTCGTTTTTCAACTGAACCAGAAATCCGTGCGTTTTTTATAGAGATTATAAACCACAATGGAAAATAATTAATTTTCAAAAAGAAATGATTCGATATCAGACTTTAGATTTTAATTGCACTGTTAAGAGTATGTCTTGTCACTCTATAAAAGCAGGTTCAGTCCCTTTAAGAAACATGTCTTCTTTGGGATATTGTTGATATTTTATCACCTTTATTCGTAGCAGTGAACTCCTCAAACCTTGTGAATCCAGTCCGAGGCGTGTCTAGAAATTTGTCCTGGGGGGTGTATCCCACCCCACCCCCACATACGCCACCTGATCCAGTGGACCGGATCTCAGTTGTACTTCTTTACTTGGGGATTAGCAGATACCCTGCTCAACATTAACAATTACATTTAATAAAAACTTTTCTAACCCCTTCCTTTTGGCAGTAGAAAAATGTATTCAAAAAATTCAACACAATCGGAATTGATACACATCCTCAAACGGAGTCTGACAATGAAGAAATGCAATTATGACCTGTAAATAATATTTTATATAATATATTTTTTCTTAACGCTTAAAAAGAGACTTGTGATTACCTATTAAAAAAAAAAATTGGAGCTATCGTCAAAAACAAAAAAGCTATAACTCCGACATCTTCGGGTTTCGGGATTTTTTTTCAAATCCCAAGTTGTATGCGAAATTTTAGCAAAATATGTGACCGTTTATAGGTGGTTGAATTAACGTGGAATGACCCGAAAGTAAAACTATTTATTATTCGTAGGTTGAAGAGATGCCTGTTGTAGATTTAGAACAAGAGAACCAGGTGAGGTGTCAACGTTCAATCTGAATTGACGAATCAACGAGTTGGATAATTTTAGTTAGAATTTTTTTTACGTTTTATCTTCCAAAGCAGGGGTCCATATAATTCAATATCCCAAATGGGATCCAGTTTGAAATTGCATTTAGGGGCATGCAAATACACTTTCTGTGTCATGTAAACTTTGGCAAATTTTTTGTGTACGTGTAATGCACTTCGGAAATGTGTACTGCATTTGAGGTTTTAGAGGTTAATATCAGTAATCAAAATAAGAGATAAATTAAAATATACAAAAAAACTTTCAGTATACATTCTGCCGTATACATATGCGTTTTTTTGTAAACTTTTATTTTAATTTTAAGAATGTATAAAAAATTCAATTCTCTGTTATATTTAGAGCGTTTCTAAACCCTCTTATTAAATACAAGTTACAATGCCCGGCCGTGTCTAGCTTTATATTATTATTCATAGTCATAGTGTTAATCTCGCCGTTTACCCGCTCTTGGTATTAAATCTTGACTTTACCTAAAGTGCCCAGCATTGCTCGTGGAATATAAAAATTTCGTAAAACTGTTGAGCATTTATCACATCGGGGTACCCAAGGTTATAATGCAAGGAAAGGTTATTGCAGTTGCGTATACTCTACATACATATTGAACCAGTTCTCTCTGGGTGGAATTTGTTAACAAGAATAGATGTATGTTTAGTATCCGAGGAGGTTAAAAGCATTACATTTTTATAATTTTTATCTATCGCATAATAGTATTAGTTTCCTATGACCAGAATATTTCATACACTGCAGTACAAAAAGATGCGTACACCTCTGAAATAACTTTCCTTGCATTATAACCTTAGGGGTACCCATGGTTTCCTCAAAAAATGTCAACCATTTTGTTACAGCCGTTTGGCCAGTTTTTGCTTAAATAAACAATATTGATTAATATTCACTGCTATGTATATTTATTTGTGCCATAGTTTTCCACAAAAATATATTAATGTGTTATATTGCATTCAAACTTTATCCCGCAAATATACATAGAATATACTGTAAATCAATTAATCATATATCTTTCTTCTTCTTTCGCGCCTAAAATATATCTATATTAGTGAAGATCATTTTTAAATAGATGAATCCCCTGCCTAGGTTGAAGAGTATGTAGAGGAAGGTTATGAGGATTATGAGGAAGGATATGATATAGATGAGGAAGGATATGATCTCCAAGGTTCTGTTCAACAACCTCAGCAGTCCAACATGATGAGGTTATCCTCAGGTAAACCAGCCTCAAGGCACACCCAAGGGACTGTTTGGAGCACAAACTGATCCGTCCGGANTAAATTCTAGGGTCTAAAAGGGCCCAACCTGAAACTAAAGGGGTAAACATTTTTTTTAAATCATCCCCAATTTTGAGGTAAGCAGCCAATTTAAAAAAAAATCGTTTGATTGGAGACAATACATGAATTTTAGGGTAAAAATATAAAACTTTACATCGTAGAAAATTTATTTATTTTGAAACCTTTTTAGGGACAAAAAAGACGGATCAGTTATTAGGATACAAATCGTCTTTTGGTCAAATAAACTTTTTTTGTATTTCTTATTACTTTGCTTTTTCTCTCTCATTCTCGAATATGTTAAACAATTTCTACATATCTCGTCACAGCCTGATATATATACTTGTCAATACTTTTATGACGCCTAGGCCTACGCAGCATTCACATTCAAGATTTTTCAGAATTGAAACCATTCCCCTGCAACCATTGTGATAAACATTTTGCCAGCAAAAAGTCCCTACAAAACCACAATAGAAGCCACGATGGGAAAACCACCTGTAATCAATGTGTCAAAACGTTTTCAACGGTTTCAAACTTGAACACTCACTTGCAGCAAAAGCACGGTTTTAATCTGGCCTGGACCGATCCTATGCCCGGGGTGTAAGAGATCCTTTGCCCGGGGTTATAAAGTGATCATATACCCGGGGAGTGTTGTGATCCTATGCCCGGGTAGTTAAGTGAGGTCATGTTTCAGGATGGTCGGAACATTCGGAAAAGTTTGAGTGTGAATTGTGTGGCAAACAGTTTTCAAACAAGAAGTCCTTACAAAATCATAGAGGGATCCATCGGGGCCGAACTAGTTGCACTATTTGCAACAAAGTCCTTTCTACCACGTCTAATCTAAACGCTCACATGAGGAACTCACATCCTGCTTTCAGGAGTCTGGATACCGCAGAGCACCAGTAAGAAGTTCCCCTGCGAGATCTGTAACAAGAAATACTCGAATAAAAATTCTCTGTTAAACCACATGGGGATTCATCGGGGTGTGACCCACTGTGATGTATGCAACACCGTTTTCTCCTCAAAATCAAATCTAAATTTTCACATGAAAAACGTTCATGGACTTATATCAAGTACCCCACTAACAACCTGAGAAGATACTGTGACATGTGTCTTGTTTCAGGTGATTCACTCTTTGAAGAATTCTTCCTGCAAAACACAGAGAAACTGAACGGAAACGTTCGGTGTTTGATTTGTGGCAAAATCACTCTCATGGTCGGAAATATGAAACAACACTTTGAGGTTCATCACTTCCAGCGTGAGTTTAATTGTGAGTTTTGTGATAAAATGTTTAAGACTCGGAACTCTTTGTGTGTACACAGACGGAACAAGCACTGGAATTCAACAGCAGACAAACATGTTCATCAGCTCGTGTGATTTTATCCTGAGAATCTAATAATATCAACATTTACTAGATAATTAACTTTTTCGTTTTTTTTTCGTGCCATGTTTTTTGTCTTTGCATATCGATACATTTTTGTGGCAGGGGTCTGATAAAATGTCATCTCATGCTAATTAAAAAATCATTTTGTTGTTGTTGAAAAATGAAAGAACTATTTTTTAAAACTTGACGAGATTTTTTTTATAATTTTGATTTTATGGTTTATTTTTCAATATTTAGACCACATCATTCGTAATGCAGGCCATCATAATTCCATTTAGGGACGGAAAATAAATTTCTCTTTGTCATTGTGAACTTTCGCAAGGTTTTTTTATTTAAAATATGTAAATATTAGTAATTTATATCAGAGATATAATGAATCACACTCGGGTGCAGAACACATTCTGCAGTTTGGAATATTTTCTTCAACTTGACATCGTACGTTTGTTTGTTAAAGCAACAACATGGTTAATTTTTACCCTTAATATCAATCAATCAACATTTGGGACCGCACGGGATGGAATTATATGGACCCCTGTCAGAATGCAGTACACAATTGACACATTCCCGAAAGTACGCGCACAAAATAAATATACACAAGTATCCGTCCATAAATGAACTTCTCATCAAACCCCACTGAGAAAAGAGATTGACTTTTATTGGCCCCTGTTTAGTATATCTTATTTATAATCATATTTCTAAAGAAAGCAAACTTTAAATATTTTTATTATTTTGTAATTGATGAAAGTTATTTTTTTTAAAATGGAAAGATTTTAAATTTTAATTCTTAGTGCTTTTTTTTAACTAAATTGGAAAAACTTATAAACTGTCATTTGTTAAAAACAATGTAATACAGAAGTTGACTGAATACTGTAAATATTTATTAAAAATATAAAAAAAACTTGTTATTTTTTTTTTTTATAACCTATTCGTTTTTAGCCAATTCAAGTTTGTAAAATTCATCTGTGTTACTTTAACTGAACACTGACTTTGCTTCACTCAAAAATTTTCTGAAAGCTATATTTTGACACTTTTTTCATCTATTTTAATTTTTTTGTGTTTTTTAAGTTAAGATTGTAACAAAAAATCTATTTTTTATTAGTATTTCTGATGAAGAAAGTAAAAGGTAATTTGACGAGAAAAAAAAGGTGGATTTAAAGTAAAAGCTAGGAGTATATATTTTTCTGTTGGCCCCCCGCCCCCCGTGGGTTTGGAGGAAAAAAATGGAGAAAAAAGGGAAAAGGGGGAAGGGCATGGAAAAGGAAAGAGGGAAGTGAGGGAAGAGAAAAGGGGGAAGAGGGAAGGGAAAAGAGGAAGAAGGAAGGGAAAAAGGGGGAAAAGGGAAGAGAAAAAACAAAATGAAAAAAACATTATCTGAAATTCGTAAAAAATACTCAAGAGGGACCTAGAAGTTGACCTTTTTAAGGGCAACAAAACGCTTCATTATACCACTAAAATCCAAATATTTTCTTTACAAGGTGGGCCTTGCCCCCCCCCCCCCGTAGAAATTTCGAATGTGCGGGCTTCAAAAACCTGTAAAATATATCTGTTTTTTAAGTTGTGGATTTGGGGCAAAAATATGATTCTGAAAATAGGGGGGGGGGGCAAAAAAATGAGTCTCGCAACTAATTTACAACCCTGACTGTTAAAGTCTTTGAAAGATTTATATTTTTGATGGCAAATCTTATATAAAATAAAGAACTTGAGATTACAGTTTTCCTGGAAATCGATCCGTAGGTTTTCTAGAGCAAAACAGATGATGGCCCCCATTTTTTTTTTGATTCAAAACAAAAAAGGCCCACTTAAAATAATGTGTTTAAATTCTGCTAAAAGGTTGAATAGGGTTAGAGATATGAAACTAGACGGAAGCCGGATATGATGCAAACATTTTTTATTTATTTTGGTCTAAATTTTTTTTTTGAATCTCGGGAACAAGCATTGATCTCCATCTTGTTTAGATCTATGGACTAATCTAATTCCTCTTCGATATCCCGTGATGATTATACCCTTAATGGATAATTTTAAATAAAGGGATAAAGCATTGATCCTAAAATTTAAAAGTGTCCACATCGGATATCAATTTAAATATGCTTTTTGACCAGTTGTAATAACTATGAAAGATCCTGGATATATGAGAAGATCTCAATGTTATGTAAAAAATCAATTTGCTTAAAAAGGGTCCAGTGCCCCTTTGAGGAAGCACATTTTAAGTTAAAAATTAAAATTACACTATTTCAAGGGGATTCCGTTTCGGCCACTCTAACCCTCTTCAATTGTTACAACTTTGTAAATTATACAGGATACAGTGCTAATTTTGGCTGTTTTAACTAAAACTATGTAATTTAAATTATTAATTTTATATTTCCATGAATAATCTAACCAAGGTTCCATTCCTCTATTTATTTAAATAACTCCAATCGAAGTACGAGCCTTATTATAACCTAGGATGATCATTTTAGGAAAGTTTGTTAAACGGGACAATTCAATAATTTTCTTCTAATGAGTTTGGAATTTTGGGTTTTTGATAAACCAGTTGTGGGCCATGATAAGCTGGGAGCTGCCGACCATAGCAGTGTTGATCAGGATGCACGGTTCGAGCCAATCCTATCCATCTTCGGGACTGAGTCCTGCTGACTATATACTTTTAGTTATAGTATTATTAAAAAAGATCTCAATGTTATGTAAAAAATCAATTTGTCCAAATATCAGGTTCGAAGTTTGGAAGTTGTTAGAGAGCCTTCTTAAGCGGAGAAAGATTAACAATGCAGGAGATGATTAATTTCTATATCAAACGTCATGTAATAACGATTTAATAGATTTAAATTTATCTTTTTCTAGTACCTGGTTCTGCTTTGGTTAACATTTTTAAAAAGTCTATTTTTATTTATCATCCTGAGGTCGAATTTTAAGAATTTCGTAGGTAAACCGCCGCAAACCAGTTCCAATTAACCGCCGGCTCGAATCACTGCCCACAATTTATAGTGGGACCAATTATGTTTGAGCCGCAACTCAAATTTAAGATGCGGCGCAAATTCTTTAAATTCGGCCTTTGTACATATATTTTAAATTTAGGTTTTCTAGAAGGTTCTAAGCCGGATATAAACCTTGAAGAGTTCTATGTTCTAGAGGCGGATGGACTCAAGGAAACTTAAACAATTTTTTTTCAATTCAAGTCTATTTTTAAAATGGCACATGAAGTGATCTAATTTTTTCTTTCTTATTTTTAACATATCCATTAATTAAGAATTGATTTGATTCTTTTATTTGAACTAATATTTTTTATTTCTATCCCGAGTATTATATTTTTTAAGCGTCTTTAACTGCAAGTTTGCAACAAAAAAAGAAGGAAAGGAGAAAAAATTTCGCCAATCATTTTTCTTCAACTTCTTCATGTCTTTCTCTCGTAAAATTGTATTTGTTTTAAATGATAGTGTGAGATCTGCGGACATGTCAGCGCAACTAAACGACTAATAAAAGTACACTTAGAGGTAACCTATAAAGTAATTGCTCGATAAAAGGTGTTTTTGGTATGACACTTTTTTATGAAATCCCGCTAAAAACTTATTTCTTCAATTTCATGTTATTTTTAAAACCAGCTCTTTATAAATAAAGAATGCCATATATTCAGAGAAAAAATATTAGCAATGGAAATTTGAATAAAATTATCAAACTATGTTTTCTGTTAGTTCTTCAAAAATACACATTTTCTCCGATATAGCATTTTTCTACAGTCGTCGTCGTCGTATATATTAATACATTGAAGACGACTTTCTTTTTCAATTTTGATATCTGCCAATCTTTTAAACAGCAGAGTCACATAAACATGTAAACAAAGAGAATTAGTGAATTAGCAGCCTCTCTTTGTTTACTTGTAAACTTGCAATTTAAAAATGCTTGTTATAGATCAAAGCATTATTAATAAAAAGTCATCTTCATTGTATTGGTATAAACGACGACCACTGCATTCTTTTATTTTTTTAGTTTTTATTTTCTCTAAAAAATGTTGCATTTTTAATATATTTTAAATTTGTTATGTTTTAGGGTAAACACGGTTTGTCTGCCGGGTATACTTGTGAGTTCTGCAACATCTTTCATAAAACTCAAGAAGCTCTTAGGAACACATTATCAGATTATTAACAATATAAAATCAGGAGTTCATATTATTCTATTTTTGATCCCAAATGGGATCGGGATTGAAAGTACATTTAGGGGCATGAAAATACACTTTCCGTGGAAAGATTTTGTGTAAGTGTATTACACTTTAGAAATGTGTACTACAATTGGGGTGTTCAAAAATGTAAACATCAGTTATCAATATATGATATCAATTATGATATACAGAAAAATAAACACTCCCTTGCAGTTCTCAAGTATGGATTTTTTTCTGTAACTTGACAATATACTTGCAATCGTTAAAAATAACAACATGGTTAATTTCTGCCCCTAATATCAATCAATCAACATTTGGGATCGTATCCGGACTCCTTTTGTTTAGTTTTGCATGGTCGATTCACATCAGTGCCCTGTTATCCGTTGTCTGATATTATTAAATGAAAAAGAAAAAATTCTAGCTGAAAACTGCTTTTTTTCTCTTTCAAATTGATTTGCAGATTTATGCCACAGAATCAGTTAAATAAATTGTTACTGTTTAACACTTTATACGATGGAAAAATGATGATATTATCCTTATTGTTACTCAGACAAAGATTCTAAGGCTAATAATTGAAATGGCACGCTTAAAATTTTTTTTGAGGGGGGCATTTGAAATTCGGTCTGTAATGGATAAGAATTTTAGGCATTCTTTAATTAAAAGATTTATTCTAATTTCTAATTTATGATTTATTCTAATTTCTAAGCTGATTTATTCTAATTTCTGATCTGATGTATTCTAATTTCTAATCTGATTTATTCTAATTTCTAATCTGATTTATTCTAATTTCTAATCTGATTTATTCTAATTTCTGATCTGATGTATTCTAATTTCTAATCTGATTTATTCTAATTTCTAATCTGATTTATTCTAATTTCTAATCTGATTTTTGTTTTAGAATTCATAAAAGAAGAAAGCATAAAGCACCATTTAATCTACTCAAATAATTCAATGACCTGAAGATGGTGAAAACTAATAAATCATGAATCCACGAGAATAAAAACTGCATTTATTCAAAAAAAAATATTGTAAGAACAGACATTTATTAAAATGTCACTATTGCACCTATAAAGTAAATGAATTGTATAAATGTAAATGAGAAAATAATGTTTTGTGAAAAGCAAAATCACTAACTATTAATCAAGCCCCAAGATAAATATTTAAAAAATCGCAAAATAATAAACTGAGTATTGCTGACTAGACTTTTCAAACACATTGAATAATATTTCTTTTAAAAGTTGAAACACAGGTGAGTAATTTGACTAAAAAGTATGCAATACGTGCTTATCAGTTAGCCAAGAGGTGAAGGATAAGGTTTACAGGTCTAGTCCAATTGTCAACAGCTAAACGTTAGTCCTATTTCATATGCAAAAATAATCACGAAAGTCGATCTTTAAATGTCCACACGATAGGTATTTTTTTAACTTCTAACTTTATCAAACTGTAACTGACTTTTATTTAACTCGCTTTGTACATATTTGAAATTTATTGGTTTTGATAGAAATATTAATATGTGTGCATTTTTACAACACCGTATTTAATTTGTCTAGGCTCTATTTTTAAATAAAATATTTATTAATTCAATATTATCTTATTCTGGATGATTGCTGATCAGTTCCTTGTGTTTCCTGTTGACAAGTGCGAAAACATGCCGACGGTCTTTAGTCGATTGTTTTTTTTTCTGTGTGTCTTTTGGCTTTCATTAAAACAAAACATTATATATACTTTGCTTGTCTGTCTGTTTGTCCGGTTGTTTCCAATAAACGCCAAAACGGCTGAACCGATCGGGTCTAAATTTTGTGTGGGACCTCACACGAACCCAGGAAAAATATGCTCAAATTTACAAAAAGAAATTATGTCAAAGTCTTTCATTTTTGTAAAATTTCGACAATGCGCGAACAAAGATTTATAAATCTGCGAATTTTTTCGTTATTGTTTTAAATTGTACAAAGAGAAGATGTTACTGACAGAGCCACAATTAAAAGTTGAAATAGAAAAGATGGGCGCAAAGATTGCAGGGTTACAAGTCGGAATTCTGTTGCGCGGAAGTGTTCTCGTATTGCGCGGAAATTTCATACAGGGCCCTCAATTGCGCGCAAGTAAAATCCACTTGCGTTTGAAACCCTGCTTAAAAGCCTAGTATTAATAGATAGTTATAAAGCAAATGTATTTCCAATTTCTGGAGAAAAAAACGACGATCTGATCAATTCACAGTTATCAAACTAATTCGAAAAAGAGCGCCAATGGGGGGCCGGGGGAGGATTGGGACTCGATGTTTTAAAAAAAAGTGAACAAACTGTTTTTTTGTCCCAAGTGTCTAGGCAATGTTCACTGGATAGATAACTAATGATTTTACATAATTGCCCAATCCTAATCTATAACATCTCTAGTACAAATGAATGGTTTTTGCCTCCCCCTCCCTCCTTCGGCCAATTATACGCATATTTTCTAAATTAACACGTCTTAAAGAGAGATTAACAATCAAATACGGAGGGGCGGTCAACAGTCTAATGCCCCTCAACATACACAGACGGAGGGGGTCAACAGTCGAGAGCCCCTCATCATATACCGAGGGAGGGGGACAACAGTCTAGAGCCCCTCAACATATACAGAGGGAGGGGGTCAACAGTCTAGAGCCCCTCAACATAGCTACCGAGGGAGGGGGACAACAGTCTAGAACCCCTAAACATAAACAGAGGGAGGGGCGTCAACAGTCTAGAGCCCCTCAAATTATACAGAGGGAGGGGGCCAACAGTCAAGTGCCCCTTAACATATACAGAGGGAGGTAGTCAACAGACAATTGCCCCTCAACATATACACTACAGGAGGGGGGGGGGGGGTACCAGTATTGTGTCCCTCCCTACTACCTGTATTCTGCTATAGTCTAGGATGAATATCTACTCCCTGTATTCTACTATAGTCTAGGATGAATATCTACTCCCTGTATTCTACTATAGTCTAGGATGAATATATAATCTGTCAGATCTAAACTATTTGTCTGATAATCAAGAGAGGAATACTCATGTACATATCAGAATAACAACAAATGTACTTTCAGGGCCAAAAGAACTGGGTTTTTGCCACAAACTTTAATTTGATTAACTTACTATTGTATCGGGCTGAATTTATAGTTGGAAACAACAAGGGTCTTCCACTTTGGGTTACAAAGATATACAGGGATTGAAAAATAGGATTTTACGGCAAAAACACATTTTCTTTCTAAATGAATAGAAAATTTAAAGAATTACTAGACAGATTAAATGGAAAGTCTTAAATTCTAATTTTACTCTTTTATAATTGTTTTCAAAATTAATATCTTAATTATTTTTGTTCATATCAGCTATCTTATCTTTAAATAAAAGTAAAAATTGAACCACAAAAACGGACTTTATTGTTCGTGATAATGTGTTTATAGAATATAGACGTTAATTTAAACTATTTTATATTTTACCGATTATTATAGAATATCTTGGGTTCGGGCAAAACTCTTTAAACGTTGATTTTCCAATGGTTTTTGAACTGAATTTTTTAATAATAATTTATTTCGATCTTTTTTGCCCTCGTTGGCATCGTATAGTGTTTCGATTTTAGTGAAATAGGTAAACAATCCCTTTCTCGTTCTATATACCGATGCCCCAGAATGATTTTTCACCCTGAATTATCCCTGAAACCCTTTTATTTACCCCCGAAACCCACTGAATTAGTCTTGAACCCCTCTGAAATCCGCCGAAACCACCCTGAATTTCCCCCTAAAACCCTCTTAAAGCCCCTGAATTACCCCTGAAACCCTCTAAAAACCCCAGAATTACCCCTGAAACCCTGTGAGTGGCCTGTAACCAGATCTGATGCAAATGAGCCTGGAAAGAAGTGTGCTAATTATTCCTGCTAGTCCAGGCAGGGTGGTCCAGTACTCTTCATCTTTTTATTAATATAAATTACAGACATATACAAGCACAAGAACATGGCTGATCTCCTCCTATTCCTCCCCTTCATACAATTCCCCTTCATACTCCTCCTCTTCTTCCTCCCCTTCATACTCCTCCCCTCCTTTTCCTCCCCTTCATTCTCCTCCCCATCATACTCCTCCTCTTCTTCCTCCCCTTCATACGCCTCCCCTTCTATTCCTCCCCTTCATACTCCTCCCTTTCCTGCCCTTCATACTCCTCCCCTTCTATTCCTTGCCCCTCCAATCCCTACTAGCTACGATCTCCTCCCCCCTCCTACCCTTTTTCCTGTACTTCCCCTCTTCTCTCACAGGTTTATTAATCTTTAACATGTTTTTAAATGCTTTGTGTCAACACTTAAAGTTTTAAAGTTACTGCAAGTAGGTTTTAAAGTCATAAGACGTAGTTTTAAAGTTATAATGTTGTTAAAACTTTACCATGGAGTATTCAAGTTTTTGAAGCTTAAAGGTATTTTTGAAAAGTTTCATACTATGTTTAATTATAAAGTTACAACGTAGTTTTAAAGTTACAAGGTATAGCTTTAAAGTAACAATGCACTTTTAAAATTATAGGATATTTTTTAAGTTACAACGTATTTTTTAAAGTTACAATGTATAGTTTTAAAGTTACGAAGTAGTTTTAAAGTTACATGGTATAGTTTTAAAGTTACAAAGAAGTTTTAAAGTTACAATGTATAGTTTTAAAGTTACATTTTTTTTAAAGTTACAATGTATAGTTTTAAAGTTACAAAGTAGTTTTAAAGTTACAACGTAGTTTTAAAGTTGCAAGGTACAGCTTTAATGTAACAATGCAGTTTTAAAGTTACAAGATATAATTTTGAAGTTACAGCGTATTTTTTAAAGTTACAAGGTATAGGTTTAAAGTTACATGGTATAGCTTTAAAGTTACAAAGTAATTTTAAAGTTACAGGGTATTTTTAAAGTTACACAATAGTTTTAAAGTTAAAAGGTATTGTTTTAAAGTCACAAGGTAAAGTTTTAAAGTTACAACGCAGTTTTAAAGTTACAAGGTAAAGTTTTAAAGTTACAAGGTATAGCTTTAAAGTTGCAACGTAGTTTTAAAGTTGCAGGGTATTTTTAAAGTTACGGGTTAGTTTTAAAGTTACAATTGGTAAAGTTTTAAAGTTACAACTTAGTTTTAAAGTTACAGGATATTTTTAAGTTACAAGGTATAGAGTTTTAAAGTTACTATCTAGTTTAAACGTTACTAGGTTTAGCTTTAAAATAAAAATGTTTGTGAACAATGATACATTACAGAAACCAATAACTGAATAAGATTACTTATTTTTTATGATAATAGTTAATTTTTATTTCTCAACCTGTTCCTAAACGACTAATTAGTTTACTGTAGAATTTTTACTACGTTTGTTGTCGTTGTTATTGAATAATTTTTAAAACCGGCTCTCAAGTACATCCCTCAAAAATGAGCAATCTAACAGGATTTTAAAGACTAAATTTGCGCTCTTGTGCTGAACAAATATGCACCGTAAAGCGTCTCATTGGCCTCAAATAATGCCAAAAAGTCTCCACAATACTACATTCTTAGTTCAACTACCATACATTGCCGGTCACTCCCTTTCAAATCATATAAAACCCTTTACCTCGTTTGATTACAATATTTTAGAATTTATCCTTCCAAATATCGCAAAGTTTGTTTAAAACAAAAGGTTAATTTTTGGGTTTTTTCCCCTTTTGCAGCGATTTTTACGCTGTATTTTTCCGAATAAAAATTCCAGTTGAAAATATAATTATCCAAAATTTCCAAGAACTGTTCTTCCTTGAATCGAAAGTTTCTTACCGTGGACCGAATTTGATAAATGAGCCAGGTCGCTGAACTGCCTACCACCGGTTCAAATCTTGAATCACCGATTCAAAGTTAAAGAATTATGAGGATTTGAATCGGTGATTCAGGATTTGAACCGGCGCCGTAGGTAGTTCAGCAATCACTTTAATTCATTAAATTTGGGCCCAGGTTTATACATTAATTATCATACTGATAATTATGGATTGGATTCAAGCCAAAAATGATCATAATCCAAAAAATATTTGGAATAAAAGTCCTCATTTCCAGCACCAAAAAAATGTTTACGAAAGAATTATATGAATTTATTCCAATGAAAGGACTTCAGTGGATTACGGAGTTTTTCTGATGTTTTAATTTCCAAGATTTGTTTCCCGTCTTTATTAGATGGACTCCTTTTACCAAGGAAATAAGGGAAGGAAAGTTAATTGCTGTTGCGTATTCTTTGCGTCGTAATAAAACAAGTTCTGTCTGGGCGGTGTTTGTAAACAAGAATAGATGCATCAATGTTCCTCTAGTATCCAAAGAGGATAAAAGCATTTAATTTTAATCATTTTTAAAATTCACATAATAGTTTGCTTTAACCAGAATATTTCATTATTTTTTTGTGAAAGATGGATCCCATGTCAGGCTTCAACATGTCAGTCTTGTGTTTACATTACCGCCCAGAGACAGTACACTGCAGAACTAAAAGTGCGTACAACTCTGAAATAACTATCTTTAAACATTATAATTCTTTGCTTTTTAGTTTTACCATCCTGTTCTAAGGAAAATACAGGGTTTGCCACAAGGGATGAGACTGTAAAGACGACATATAAA